GAGGGAGGGAGGGAGGGAGGGAGGGAGGGAATTTGAAGGATGCATGCAGAGGAAAGGGTAGCTACAGCCCTATGCTCCAATAGTGGTATTTTGCTTGCCACCGTACAGATGTTCCTTCTCTTAAGGTGGCTCACTTGGCATCTCAGAAAGTCCATTCCTTCTTTATAGTGGCTCCCATCTTATGGAATGGGCTCCCCGTGGGAAAGGGGGGGAGGGAGCACCGTCTTTAGAGGTTTTTAACAGGCACTGTTCGGCCGCTTTATTTGTGAGGGCATTTAAGCAGCAGGCATTTTCTTAGCCACAGGGGAGTTGACAGCATTCTATCATGGTTTGTATGTGTTGAATCTTGCAATTGTAAGTCACAAGGGAAGGCAGCGTATAAATATTTTACTACACAAATCGACTTGGCTGGAGACCCAAGAGAAGGAAGGGCCGCCAGTCCCACAGTTGGGATAGGGAAGGAGAAAAGCCTCTGCTGATATTGCGTGGCCAACGTGCGGGTAAGGGTTGGGGGGTTAGCGAGAGGGAGAGCCGTGGGGCACACAAGCCCTCTCCTCCCTGCCTCTACTCGGCCCCATTCCCCTGGCTTCAGCCACTCACCTCCATGATGCTCCCGCTCACATGCTTCAGTCCTTGATTGCAGAAGAAGCAGCCACGGAGATGTCGCCTGGCATCTCACACCTGACAGGAGTGTCCGTGGGAGCATGGGCTGCAGGGGGTGGGGGGTGGGTGGGGTGGAGAGAGGGCTCACAAGTCAGTGTGACACAAGCTCATTGATCGGGCACCAAAGGGCTTCCATGGGGCTTTGTCTGCACCCACTGAACGGGTCAAGTAAGAAAGGGCAGAGTTGCCTTTGAACATATGCAGGGCGTATTTTCCTCACTACTAAAAGCGGAGGGGGAGCCCCCACGTTTCCGAGGGAAGGGCTTCCGGGGGAGGGGCTTCTGTTTCCGTGGCATCTCCCGGAAATAAAGCACAGGATCCCCCAAAGTGGATGAAGTGGAAGCCAAACAGAACTTATGTTCAGCTTTGACCTGATACAGCATTAGGACCCTTAGGGTGCGTTCAGACGGGGCGTTTCAGCCGGCATAAACTGTACCGGTTGGAACCGGTGCAGTTTATGCCGGCTGAAATGCGATCACACTTACCTCCTGCCTGCGGAGCCCATCGCTGTATGCCCGTTCACATGCAGCGGGCAGCGGCGTTGTTTTTTTTAAAAAAACCCTCAGTTTGAGCATGCACATGGGCAGCCATCCACACAATGGCGATCTTCACGCATGTGCAAAACACCCAGTCTTACATTTAAAGTTTAAAGGTAAGGACTTAACTTTAAAGTTTAAAGACCAAACTGGCCTCCCTGAGGTCTCGGAGTCCTCCAAAACCTTAAACTAAGGACCTTTTCTTTCTTTCTTTTTTTAAACAAATGCCGGGGCGAAGCTTCGCCCAAGCGCTTATTGGCATTTGGCAACCTAACCAAAAAGAAAATGGTGGGCGAAAATCGGAAGCCTCGGGCTTCCGAACGGAAGTGGCTCTACAACGTTGGAGAGCGATCAGACGGGGGGTAAAGCGATTACAACCGCTGCACTCAGGATACCACCACTTGGGGACCTAGTGGCAGAATACAACCGTGTAAAGCTCTATGCAACAGTTAGGAAGGCAGATGTTCGCCGTGTGAACGCCGGTAAGTACACCCGATTCCAACCGGCACCTATACCGTTGCAAATGCCCCGTCTGAACGCACCCTTACTGAAGTGCAATTGAATTAGAAGCGCACAGAACCTGGCAAGAATCTTCCCCATAGCAGGTCTCAGACCTGAACCTCTGAAGGTGCTAAAATCTACAGTGAGGAGACACCATGAGACCAGTGTCACAGGAGCTGCTAGGAGGCAACCTGGAGACTTCTGTCTTTCTGCCTCTGAAGCAGAGAGGGTGTGTGCACTCCCAGTTTCTCTCACCCTGCCTGCTCTCGCTGGTCCTGTCACCTTCCTTCCCCGGCCTCTTTCTGGAGTAGTCAGGACTCCACATTGCACCCAGTTTCAGGAATGGAAGCAGGGCAGGAAAAGTGTGGGAGAAGCCTTTAGCGACTTGCTCATTCAGTGCTGTAGAGGCAGGCAGGACAAATGCCTGCTGGTCCCCCAGCAACAAAGCCACAAACGACAGGGAAAGACAAACAAACCCTCAGGGGACCTAGGGGAAATGGCCTTTCTGATCTCACCAACGGTTATCGATTGGTTTTTTTAGTGCAAGGAAGATTCACCCCACAGAGACTTCCAAGGGGAAATATGCACAGTGTGGAGACTCCCGCGGCATTCAGTGCAGAACAGCGGCTGGCATCCATGCCTGAAAGCAGGTAAACCCAGATTCAAATCCCAGTTTGACTAAGTACACTAGGTGACCTAGGGCAAATCGTTAGCCCGACCTACCTCACAGGGTTGCTGTGAAATGGTGCTCACTGGAAGAAGGGTGGGATATACTTGCAAGTCACCCAACGTTTTCCGGAGCAGCGAAGAATCTCACCAAAACAAGTGCTTGCATGCAAAACATCCCATTACTTCGCAGAGCTTAGCAGAATGCACACCCACAGCCCTGAATAACAGAAAACCTACACTTCCGCAGAAGCCAATAAAAACAGAAATCACTCCACTCTGGGACTTATGAAATGTGATATGGATGCATTGCATTCGTGTCACGTGCTGCGGAAGGGCGTTCTTCCAGCCCCTGCCAGCACCCTTTCCAAATAGTGCTTATTCCTGTTTGACAGAGAGAAATCAGACTCATGCCTGCATGAAGAAGAGTGACAGGGTACTGGCAACACCTCGCTCCTCACAGAGGCAGTAACTTATCTATGAGGCCACGGAATGTCCACAGACATTCTTGCTCCTGAGGGTGTCAGCATCAGAACGGTGGCAAACAGAGCAGCTTCTGTGCGAGAGATCAGACCTCAAGAACATCTGGCAGCCTATGGTGGTCAAGGGGGGCTGCGTTGGCATGCAGGCGGAGACAGAAGCAGTGGCACAGGGTGGCTGAGGGAAGGGGTCAAGACAGTGGAGAAGGAAGCACAATTCTCAAGAAGGGATGTACAGGCGAGGAAGACAACGGAGAGGAAGAGATAACGGAGAGAAGAAGCTAAGGCATGGGTGCACAGCCTGCGGTCTGTGTTGTGCAGCCCACCCCAAAATAATTCTCACCGCATCCCTGCTCAGGAATGTGGCAAGAAGTTTCCCTTTCTCTCTGGGTAGGGGGTCAGAATGCCATCTCTGAGCCCAGAGAAGTGCCGAATGGCAGAATTCTCCTGGCCGTGATGGAGCCAGGCGATATCACTAGGCAGAGCCAGGCCACGTCAAAAGGTGGTCCACAGCTCCAGCCCGGATCCACTATGGCCCCCGTGACTGTTCTGAGTTGCTGACATCTGAGATAAGGAAAGGAATGATGAAGGGAAATGTGTGTGTGTGGGTGGGTGGGTGGGGGGTTTTCCGCAAAAAACACAAACAGGACTAGGTTTGCCACCTTTTCCACATGTTTTCATTGGACCTATTTTCAGGGAGGCATGAAAAATAGCATTATCAGTGCCTCTTGCTAGAGTTACTCTCCCACCCTTCCACCTGGGTGTGAAATACTGATGGAACGGAAGACAGATGCCAGCATACTATGGTTATTGCCCTGGGACACATGCCATGGGATGGTGTTTCCCAACACTGTAAGCAGGTGTGCCCTGGCCAACGTGTTCACCCACACCTTTTCCCCACCCCTACCTGCGGGCAAGGCTGTTGCCTTCAAAAGTTCCATTCAAGTGTTACCCAGCCTACGAATTTTGGCAGAAAAATCTGGATTCCTTCTAAGCTTCCTGCTCTGACTCAAGCAAACGAGTGTACAAGCAAAACAGCACACCCCTCTTTTCTCATCCATCTCCCCTCTGTAGGAAATTGGGGGGGGGGGGAGAGAACAAAACACATCCCTCTGGTAGAAATTTGGGGGGGGGGGAGAGAACAGACAGACAGACTTTCTTTTGGTAGGGATGTGAAAACTCAGCCTCCCCCCTCCCAATTTTCTTATAGCTACAGTCTATAATGCCCTGACCTGGATCGCCCAGGCTAGCCTGATCTCATCAGATCTTGGAAGCTAAGCAGGGGGCAGCCCTGGCTCGTATTTAGATGGGAGACCTCCAAGGAATACCAGGGCCATGATGCGGAGGCAGGCAATGGCAAACCACCTCTGAACATCTCTTGCCTTGAAAGCCCCATGGGACTGCCATGTATCAGCTGTACTTGACAGCCAAACAAATTGCCTACAATATTGTATTTATAAAACATTTATGCTGCCTTTCCATCCAGTCAGGGTTCCCAAGGCACTGCACATGAAATCACTGAAATATCTGAACAATTTAAAAAAAAAATCAATTTAGAAAACGATGCAATAAAAACACATAACAAGCAATACCAGAGGAAGACCAATAACCATTACTGGAGGTACGCCAAACAAAAAGTCTTCACCCACTGGCGGAAGACACTGAATGTTTAAAAATTAAATTGGATTTGCTAGGCTGCCCTACCCCTGTGAGCAGGGCTCAGTGCGGCTTACAACAGAGCAAAATACAATAGATGCTTTGATTTAAAACCAACATTAAAAATTGCCTAAAAACAGGGCTATTTTGGGGCAGGAACGCACAGGAGCGGAGTTCCGGCTGGCTCCCGAGTTGGCCACGCCCAGCAGGAACTCATTCGCATAATAGGCCACACCCAACAGCAGAAACTCATTAGGATTGGCTACTTTAGGGGTTTAGAGGGAACATTGACTGGAAGTACGCCAAACAAAAAGTCTTCACCCACTGGTGGAAGACACTGAATTTTTAAAAATTAAATTGGATTTGCAAGGCTGCCCTACCCTTGCGAGCAGGGCTCAGCGCGGCTTACAACAGAGCAAAATACAATAGGTGATTTGATTTAAAACCAACGTTAAACATTGCCTAAAAACAAGTTAATAAATAAAACAATATACATTCTAAGATAGCGGGGAAAAGAAATTCAGCTCCCCAGCCTCCTAGGAGGGAGGGGTAACAAGGGATGGGGGGGGGTACATGAGAGTGCCAGATGTCATGCTGTCCTGTCTTGTCCCGTCCCCAACCGAAACCTTGGCCCTGGGCGAGGACAGCAGGATCTCTCTCGCGCCGGGGGACCATCAGGAGGTTCGTATTCCCTGAGTGTAGCTTTCTTCTGGGGGCATCCTGAGAGGGGCGGTCCTGAAGCTATGCAAGTCCCTGACCGCTAAGGACCTTGAACGTCAAGGTGAACCTCCCCGGGGAGGGAGTTCCAAAGTGCAACAACCAAGAAAGCTCTTTCTCAGGTCACCACTCGTCTAGCCTCAGATGGCAGCAGCACAGGTTTCCAACCTCCAGGTGGGTGTCTCCCACTATTATAATTGATCTCTAGGTCATCAGAAATCAATTCCCCTGGAGGAAAGGGCTGGACTCTGTGGCATTGTACCCTGCTGAAGTCCCCCCCCCCAAACCTCACCGTTACC